GAAAAGATTTTAAAGACTTAAAAGTTAGGCTTCTGAACATTGATGTAAGCTTCCCCCTTATTGACTTGTACTGAGCAGAAAAATTCCAAGGGTCTGTCTCTGTAATGGTCCTGTTGATGAGGGCGCTAACACTCAGTTTTAAGGTCTGCCTACCAGACCTTAATGGCTTCATCTCAGCTACTACGGACACACATTCCGATTCCTCCTCGTAATCAAGTGTACCACAACCTGGATGAGAACACAAGCTCAGTGAAGCAGTTCCTTGCTTTTCTGAAAATGCTGATGACAAAGGATCTAATAACATTTGAATATCAATATTCTTCCTTCCAACCCAAAGGGCTGTGTTACTAGGCCCCAATCCCCACTAGAAATCACTGGCTTCTCACAGGGTGTCACCTACAGCAGACTCAAACCATCTAATTTCATCTGCCTAGGTGACATAACACAGCATCTGAATTAACTTACACATATGGCCTGATAGGTTTTGTCACCAATCATATTGCACAGGGAAACAGGAAATTGCTTCTGCAAATGCTACTGAGGCTTTCTGGCCTGGCCCCACCCAGAAAGTACAATCTTCCTGGCTACAAATGATTCCCACTCGAGTGGTGATCTCAAAACCCATCTCTGGAAGTGAAAACTCCAAAGAATCTGTCACTGGATACAGTGACACCAATCTCACATTTTGTGGTTAATAAAACAAGTCCTGCATCTCGCTTGGCACAAGGCCCTGATCTGACTTATTTTGAGCCAAGCTCATAGGAAAAACTGCCATTCACGAATGTTTCAAGAGGGCAGGTAAGCTAGGTCTATTGTGGCAAAATTGGCATGGGCAGACACCTTTCTGGTGAACTCTCTGAGCAAACCTAGTCTATTTCCTGAAGAGATTTGGTGCATTTTGCTCTTAAAAGGAAACAAAAATCAATGACAAAAATCTTAGTTTTGACAGGCAGTCAAACACTTTTCACAGAAAAGGTGTTTGTGGGGTGGAGGTAAGGGAGACGTATAGGAAAAGAGAAGCATGCTCTGATTTCTGATTTAATTGAACATCAGACACTTCACCCCCTCCTCCTCAGTGCAACCCACTATCAGTAAGGCACGCAGGACTTTCCTCAGAAAGTCTCCTACAGCCTTCCTTTAAGATTTTGTGCCCCAGGACTTAATCAGGAATTTCCATTCTAAAGTGGCACACTAACTCCCCTCAGAGAGTTCAGCTTTCTTTGAATAAAAATGGCAAGTTACCCTTTGGGGGACTCAATACTTATTTTTAAACCTCTTATTAAATTAACCTAATTTATGGGACATGTTCAGGAAAAGCAGGTAACAAGCTGCTTTGGTGGATGCAAAGTTACTTTGCCAGTCCCTTCCCACCCATCCCCAACTGCCCTCCCTTCTCCGAGGGTTTCCGAATATCTTCGGGGCCCCTCCGAAGCCGCTCGGCCCTCTCCGCCTGGACCCCGACTGTGTTCCGAACACTGTCGAGATCCTCCGAGCCCCGCGCCCAGGCCAGGCCGAGCAGTGCCGAGCGCCGCCGAGCTCAGCCCCATCGACTTTTCCAGCCTCGTCTGGGCGCTGTCCACCACTTGCAACGCCTGAAACCTCGCCCCGCTCAGGAGGCCGAGGCTTCTCCCCGACTCCCAGCCTGCCACAGCGGATTACAGACTTGCGAAGTTTTGAAACCTGCCTCTAAGGAGAAAGCGATGACGCGGTTTGCATTTCCCGACACGCGAGGGCTCCAGGCAGATGCAACATGCACCTTGTGGCAAAGAGCAATTCCCCAGGCCCCGCCTCCCCATCCATTTGGACTGCACAAGCCTCAGAGAAACCCCAGGCCAAATTACTGGTGGCTCAGAAGGGTGAGGCTAGCCGAAGGGGCCTGTGAGAAAAAAGCCCCCCGGGAGCTCTCGATCGCAAATAAGCATGCCAAGCAGATGGGGGAAACTGTCTCCTAGTCGCTGCTCCCTACCATCATGGCGCCGCCTGGAACTCGCTTGTCATGCCTGTTACACATGCAAGAATTTTTGCTTCTTGGTTTTGAAACCGCAAGCACACTTTGTCTCCCACCCACCTTCCCTCGAAAGGGGTTTTTATTTTCCATTGTTTTCCTACGGGATGCAATTACTTCGGCTATTCTGTCAAGTTGAAAAATAATCATTTTTGTTTACTGCACAGCAACCTCTAATTAGGAGCTGTGTGTGCACGAAGGTGTCACAGCAAAGCGACATGGAATCCTCGCTAAACGGTCCTAACGAACTCCTCCGTCCAGAACTGACAGGCCAACGGAAGCAGGGCCAGCAGGCCCGGAAGGCACGCACCCGTTCCCTCCTTGCCACCCCTCCCCAGGCAAAGCTGCCTGTAGGCTCACTAGGAACCTTGGAGTGGATGGGGCAAGAGGCAAGCCAGTGAAGGGGAAGGAGGGGCGAGGCTCCTTATTGGGGAAATGTGGAAAGGAATATCCCATTTTGTTTTAATTTTCAACCATCACTCAAATCCACCCCCAGTTAATTAGGAGGGGAAACTGATACCTAGAGTAGAAGGGGGCGGTGGCAAGTAGGGCCTGGAACCCGCATAGGAGGTAGGCTACGGGGAACCTGGCCTAAGAGTGTAAATAACTATAACGATAAAGGCTACACAGTGCCGGGGAAACTGCGGGCGTGAGGAGAGCAAAGGCTGGACTGCCAGGGGTGGGAGGGTGGGGAGGATGGGGTAAGGAGAGGGGCTGGAGTGCAGATGAGGCTTGATTTCTTCATTGAGCCTCACAGACAGCGTCCCCCTTCCACCTCCGCCTTGGATAGGGCTGTGTCTGTCATATCCGCTTGGAAACCCATCCTTTCTCCTTTAGTGCACGCCCCCTCCCCTAACCCTTGCTCTCCGTTTGGGGGGAGGGGTCTAAGCCACAGACTCCAGGAATTCAGCACCAAACTCATGAACAGCAAACACTTGCTCCTCCACCCCAATCTGCCAGGGCTGGGTCTCCATGTTCTAGTCAAGTTCAAAAATCACTGTCTCAAGAGAAGCAGGGGGAGGTGGGATTCGAGAGATGGGGTGGAAGCGAGGAGGAGAAATAAAAGGAGGCAGAGACAGAAATGGAGGCATCGAAACACACGAAATACTCCACGAGCAAGAGTTATGATCATAATCACGCCGATAGTGTGATGTTCTGATCAATATGGCGGACACTGTCATTCATACAACTACAGGCGCTCCCCCTTCCCTCCCCCGAAACGCCCACCCCAGGAGTTGGGGTGGGGGACCCAGAAGCAACGTAGGGAGTGGGGGAGGGGAGGCAAAACCAGGTCTGTGTGTGTGTGTGTGTGTGTGTGTGTGTGCACGAATTAAAAACCAGGCCTGGAGAGCCATGTGGGTGAGCAAGATAATAAAACGGTATAAAATTATTCTTAATAAAAGTACAAATCCCAGTGCCATAGGGACTTACTTCATCTGCTTCACAATGGTGCTTTTTCCTGATTCTCCAGCCCCTGTTGGGACACACAGAGAGGGGGGAAACTGGTGAGTGTCAGTTCATAGAAACGGGAAGGGGGCTTCTAGGCATGCAAGGGGTGAGCGCTCCTGGGCACATGGTGGTGCCAACTCTGGGACCAGGTCTCCCCGGGCGCTAGTCGGGTGAGGGAACTGCGGCCGGGGTCGAGGGGCTGGGGTGGCTAGCGAGGTCCTTACCCAGCAGGAGTAATTTCACGTCTTTGGCGGCGCTGATGCCATCTTCTTTGAGGTTTTTCTCAATCGCCTTGCTCCGCTCGAGGGCGGCTCTCTCCTCTGCGCTCAGAGTACATCCCATGGTGGCCCCTTCCCTGCCACAGCCCGCACGACTCGGCTGGCACGACTCCCCGGGTCGGCGCGCCCCCCACCCCCCCACAGAGCAGAGCCTGGGCTCAAAGGGGAGAAAATCACGATATCCTCTCCTTGGCCGGGAACAAAATTGTCGAAAGACCAGAATCCCCACCAAAAGACAGCCTCTATCAAGATTCCAGCGGCGGAGACTAGCGGCGGCTGGCTGGGGTCTGGGGGTGTCGAGGTGAGGGTGGCCGAGGTCTGGGGCTCCGGAGCCGAGGGAGGAGGCGCCCGCGGGCCCGGGAGACGCGGGCTGCAGGCACCGAGGCTAGTGCACGACCCAAAATAAATAAAATAGGAGTCGAGGCTGGATCCGCAGCCGGAGCCGGCGGAGGGTGGGGTGGGGGGCAGGGTGGGTCCTTCTGCCGCGGCTGCCGGAGGCGGAGGAGGAGGAGGCGGAGGCGGAGAAGGTGGAGGCGGCGGCGGCGGCGGCGGCGGCGGCGGCGGCGCGGGGTGTGGAGGGAGTGAGTTAGGGGGTGCCGCTAGTGCATGTGCATCGCCGCTCCTCGGCCGTCGGTGCGTCCGCGGCGCCTTCTCCTACCCCCGCGCGCGGGGCTGGACTGGGCGGAGGGCCGGGCCGAGGGTGGGTGATGGGGGGGGGGTGCAGGTCTCTAGCGGGAGGCTGCGTCGCCGGGGCCCAGAACTCGCATCGCTCGGCGGAGCTGACGGGAGACGGGGAGGAGAGCGAGGGAGCCGCGGCCGGCGGGGAGCGAGAGAAGAGG